CCAAAAACAAATAGAGGAGGAAAGAAGTTATTTGACTTAAAATTTCACATCAAAATCCACTATGTAAAGATGTCAGGGCAGGCACCTGGAGACAGCAGCTGTAGAAATATTAGAACAACACTGCTCCCTAACTTGATTCCCATGGCTTGCTTAGCCTGCTTTCTTATAGAAATCAAGACCACTAGCCCAGGAACAGCACTAGCCACAATAGGTCCTTCATTTCCTACAGGAAAATCTGACAAAGACAATTTCTCTGTAGAAGTTCCCTGCTCTCCCATGACTCTAGCACGTGTCAAATTAACAAAAAACTAGCCAGCACAAACGGATAGACATTGAGGGTGATCTTTGTTGGCATTAATCATTCTCGAAGCATTTGATGGGATGTAGCTGTATGTAGACCGTGTCGCTTGGCCCATTGGCCTAACCTAAAAGAACTGCTCATGTTCTAATCCAATAGTGGAGTGGTTACACAGAGTGGTCTCTTTCACCTATTCTCTCACAGCTGTTTTCAGTCATTTGGTAAGCTATTTTTTTTTCTGAATAGACTATGATCTACTGACAGGGTCTGCCATTAATGCTGGCAGCTAACTTCCTTTTCAAGCCTACACTCTGCAGCACCAGTGCTCATATTAAAACAACTGGATTTCTCCCCTTTTATGATAACAGTCATAACAGTTCATTGGACTACCCTTTCAGAACCAGAACTCAGAGAGCTATAACCCAGTCTATACCTTGAACAGGAGGATTACATAATTATATATACTTCTTGTCCTCTGCTCCAATTCCTTTTGTATTTAAAGCTATAGTGCACGTCTTGACCCTTTTATATCTTCTTCTTTCCAATATGTCACATTGAGTAATATTTTACCCTGCATTTCACCACTAATCATTTCTTTAATTGTCACATTGCTATGTTAGCAAAAGTATAATTTGTCAGGGCATTAAGAGCTAAGCCTTTGCCCTAAAAATCAATTTCTGTGAACTGAGTTGTATCACATGAGATGGTCTTGCTGGAATGATCATTTTGTTGTCCTGCAGATTACCTTGGTGAGCAGTGCAGTGGCACAGCTAAAGCTTCCACCTATCAAGTGAAGAATCTCAAGAGTAAAGTCTTATTAAGAGCAGTAATAAGATGCCTCAGTTGTGATTATCTTTGCCTTTAGCCTCAAAGGAGGATGAGATAGGCTAAGAATCTGTGCTTTTCAGCAAGACCCTCCTTGAACAATGGACATACCTGGATGCAGAGCTAAGGAGGCCATCCAACTTAAACTGCAGAATGGAGGCAGCAACTGCCACCTGTCACTCTGCTTCTGTCTACTTGTGAGCCTAAGTAAGGAGCTCATGCTCTTCTCAAGATGCAGTTTCTTAGTGTCTGTTTTGACTTGAGTGCAGCTGCAGAACAGAATTTAACACTAAGGAGGGTGAGAGTACAGCTGAACCTGCCAAAGAACAAATTACACTCCACAAATTAAAACAGAGAGTGGAAACTGTATTTAAACCAATTACAAGAGGAAAAACTCAATGCATTTTTAATTAAATTCTTTTAGAGTAAACAGTTATTATTCTTTTTACACAAGTTCATTGTGAAAGTTTACAAGGCTTCAATACTAATTACATGGTAACACTGAACAGTCATCAACCCAGAACCATGGTCATCGTCAATGTATTAAATGTGTATCGTCTCTTTGTTGTTGGTATGTTCAAAACATTGCCTTAGCTATTTTGAAATATATAATGTGTTGCTGTTGACCACACCCTTTGAAGTTTGCTGAGAACATCAGAACTTATTTGGTAACTGCCAAGATGGTTTTAGGATCTGGAGTTGGGAGGGTCATCAAACACAGTGTTGCTACTTGACCTTGCCAAAGGGAATAGCAAACTTTCTCACCATTTCTGGACAGGAGCCAATTACAAAAGTACTAAAAGGGCAGCCACAAAAGCAGCACACTGCTCTCTGTGAGGTTGGGAGACAGGGGTGCTGATTCCTATATGCTTCTATTTCAAAGAGCTGACTTCCAAGTCCTTGAAAAAGACAGTGTTGGGTTGTAAAACTGACAAGAGGCCGTGAACAAGATTTACATCTCAAAGTAGCAGAGAAAGAATTTGCAATTACAAGTTTGCTAAAATAAATGCTCCTTCAGAAATGGGATGTCAGGGACACAGGCAAGAAGAAAACTGACTATAAAGTAGATACAAGCAGAATTAGGGCAGTCAGCACTGGGGCCACCCTGAGAAAGGAGCAACCTGATTCAAGAGCTCATATCTTGAATCTTAGTTCAAAGGGCACTGACCAACATGCACATGTGTCTTAGTGTTGAGGTGCTTACAAGATGCAAGATCTGAACTATATATTGGCAGTTTATAACATTGTCATTGAAGTCAACAACACCAGCAGTATCATTTGCAGTATAAATTTATCAGTAGACTTAAAACTACATTTTAGTATACACAAGGAATTGTGTAATTGAGAAAAAAGACACAGTCTCCACTAAACAGCTTACAAGTTTCAAACAGTAACATATCTACTGACCATTCTTACTAAGTTTACTTCTGCTTAGCTAAAGTTAACCAGAAAATCAGCTTGGGGACTAAATAGCTCACAAGTATAAAGCATCAGCTAATGATTCTAAACACAAGGAGGCAGCTTTCTGACTCCAAACTATGTGATTATAGTTATTTTAACAAACTGATGTGAGTGAAAATGCATGAAGAAAAGTTTTACCTATAAAGGCTGGCTGACAGATTAAAACTGCAGTGACTACAAAGTTTGCAGTGTTGAACTTATAGAGTCTAATTACAAAATATCATGGGCTATCCTTAGCTAACTAACCAGTGCTTGCTCAGTTCAAATTCTGTGTCAGAACATCCTGACCACAGATCAAAACCATTTGGAGTGTATTTATTTAATAAATCCATAGTTCTCCACTGACCAAAATGCTAAGGGTTGTCAGAAAGCATCTACAGCCTAGACAGGAGATTCCTTCACTTTGCTATGACCACCCTTTTTACATTTCTCCCAATGTATTTTTTGTCTTTATTTTTATTATTTAAATTAGAAACAAGCTTGTTTTACTTGTCAATCCCAGTTTTCCCTCCCTCCCCTCCTCCCTTACCCCAGACTAAACTCCCTATCTCATTCCTTTTCTACTTTCCAGGGAGGGTGAGGCTGTCCATGGGGGATCTTAAGTCTGTCATATCATTTGGAGCAGGGCCTAGACCTTCACCTGTGTGTCTATGTTGAGAGAGAAACCCTCTATGTGGAGAGGGCTCCCAAAGTCCATTTGTGTACTAGGGATAAATACTGATCCACTGCCAGAGGCCCCATAGATTGCCCAGACCTCCAAACTGACATCCATGTTCAGGGCTTCTGGAACAGTCCTATGCTGGTTTCCCAGCAATCAGTCCCAGTATATTTTTAAAGAGTTTCAGTGTATGGCTTTCTTTGTTCTGTTACTATAAAATTTTCATGAAATTGCTTCCACATTGGAACATGAAATTTAGGATAACCTAAATCTATCTTTCTGTGTCATGGTCATTCAGGTTATACTCCAGAATAAACCGGTATTGCCTTGAGGTGAGGATTGTGTTTGTGCATCAACACTATAAAGTGAGGTCAATAATTTGTGTGTTTGTGTCTTTGTAGATTAGTCTGAGATGGTGGATCACAGTTTTCACGCACAAGGATCATGTCATCTCAACTTTCATGTAACCCCTGCTAAAGAAAAGGCTCAGAGGTCAAGGACTCTTTGTGGCTTGTCCTTTTCTTATTTCACCTACCTTGTCTTCTGCAAGCACTTGTAGCTCTTGCTCTTCCCTCCTTTTAAATTGACAATTTCATCTTTTCTGTTTTCCTTTTGATTCTTTGTTTCAAAAGGCCAGCCTTTGTAAATTTCTCTAGTCTTGGACATCTCACCTAAGGCCTCAGCTGAATTTTTTTTAGTACCCTATTCCAATTCCCTATTTCCAGTCACCAGGTTTCTTGCTGTGACTAGGATGTCATATTGCTATTGGTGACTTAGCCACACAATGATATGAAATATGATGATCTCATCTACTCTATGGATCAACCCTCAGCCTTTTCCTCTCCTCCAATTCCAACTGCCCACACTTAAATCTGCAAGGTGCACAGATCCCATGAGATCTCATGTCCTGTACATGTTACCATGGAGATACCCTCACCATTAGACTTTGTTCCCATTTTGGCCCCTGTTGTCACTAAGATACTGTTGATAACATGAAGCAAAACTGTGAAAATGATGCCACCAAGATGTTACCAATCAGAATACTAGTCAAAATAGCAGTGCCCACATAACTGACCAGAACTGCTGATTCTCCATAGGATTAGCATACCCCTAAAGATTGCCACACCCTTTAGTAACACACGCCAAATGTTATCTCCCATTTCTTTTTTTTTTTTTCCTTTTACTTTCCTGAATGCTTAACAGAGTCATGGAACAGGAAAATCAGACAAGACTCTAACATGGGCGCTATGACAGCTCTTTTCTACTCCTTCACAATTTGTGAGACTCCCCAGACTCTCGCCACTGCCTGAAACATCCAAATGTAAAGGAAAAGGAAAGTTTTTAAGTTGAGTATCTTCTCCTTTGCTGGAAGTAACTTACTTCTTTTGCCTTTAAAAGACTTTTGGTGCTGCCTACTTATGTTGATTTTCTCTATATGAGCAATCCCTACTGCAGACAGGGATCTGAAGTCTAGGGTTTGAAGTCCCATTATTCAAAGTTTGTAGAGTGAGATTTCACAGTACAACCAAAAAGGACCAAAACAATAGTAAAACAAGAAACCAACATCAGTAGCAAAGGCAAACACTAGAAGTTCATACTCTGTCAAGCTGAATCTACTCACCTAGCCAAAATCTAGTCAAAACATAAGGTAGTGGTGGCACATGAATTTAACCCAGCATGTGGGAGGCAGAGGCAGGCAGCTTTATGTGAATTTGAGGCCAGCCTGGTCTACAGAGTGAGTTCCAGTACATCCAGTACTGATTCACAGAGAAATTCTGTCTCAAAAACAAAAACAAACAAAAATTGGTTAATTTATCTCAATTAGAAACATTTTCTATTAAAAATAAGGCTAAGTTAGTATTAAAACCTGAAACAGAGCCTACTGGGCCCTTGCCAATCCCCAAGTAACACCTCAATCCTTCCAGCAATTAAGGCCAGGTGGTGCAAGACCTGCTTAGCTTTGCCAAAGAAGAAATAAACCTGCCACATCCTCTAATGGCTAATTTTACCTCTCTGTGTCTGGTCCCTGAAACTATTAAATAGAATGTGGTGCTATATCTAGAAGATGTGGCTTGTGATTTGTTTTTCAGTTCCTTGTACCTGACTCTTGGTATTTGCTTGTCTTCAACTGAACCTTTAAGGATTCAAGTACCACCCTTGACTTGTGACTAGCGTGTAACGTAGAGGTCTTAGGACTCAATTTTGGCAGAAGGACCGTTCTTCCATATATTGAACAAATTTTGATGTGGATCTCTACCAAGTGCAGCTCATACCAAAACAATGTGAGAATCCTAAACCATACTTGGTGTTAGCCTTTGTGTGTTTTGCCTGTGAATATGTAAGGACACTGCATGGCAGGCTTGTACCTGAGGAAGTCTGAAGATGGTGGCGGATCCTCTAGAACTGTAGTTATGGAGTGCTATAAGTCTCCTTGTGAAAACTGGAACTGATTCCAGGTCCTAAGTTAAAAAAAATTAGGTAGTGTTATCTTCTAAGACTTTCCAGAACAAGAATATTTTTATTGCCATATAATCATAGCAGAGGCACCCCAAATGATTTTTCACAATTCAGACTACTCACCTTTATCTACTGGAATGTACCCTGTAAAGCCACCTATGCACAGTGGCAATTCTTCTCCTCTGGGAATGTATAGATTACAATATTTCTGGGAACTCTTCTTTGCTGGGTGGGTGGCAGTGAGCTTAGAAAGCATTGGACCCCTTCTCTTACCTGGAAGCTTTCCATAGCTGTACCTTATAATTATATTGTGTCCAGTGTTCAACTTGTGCTGCAAGCTATCAGCACACTGGGTTTTTCCTCTGTGGAACAAGGGGCTTCTATGTCTTGCACTAGAGATGATGAGGTGGTTTGTCATTCTTGAGCTCATTTAAATATACCCATGTAAATTTTAGAGCTCCTAGGCATATTGCCAACTTGGGACCTTTCCCCAAGACATCCTTGATATACCTTCTTTACAGAAAAAAGATATTTGATTGGGGGACTAATGAACATTCCTGATTTGGGTGTAAGCAAGAGTGAAAGGAAGACACTAAACAAAACCACTCTATTGGTAGAAAAAAAGCTAATTGTGGAATCAGAACTTCCAGGCACTCTCTGTGGGTGGGGGCAGATAAATAGCATAAAGTGGGAAAAGTCGTCTGGCTCCTTTTAAGGAGACAGGTTTCAGTGAGAGCCCGCCTGGAAGTCAGGATAGCCTGGAAGTTAGGAGTAGTGGGAGGAAGCATGTAGGCCAGAGCAGCCTGGCAGATAGCTAGGGACTTTGGTCTGTTCCAGGCTTGTTGAATGGGGAACTAGATGCCACATTGCTGGAGGACATTGGTTATAGGGACAAATAAGGGAGGCAGTGGCATTCCCTAACCATCAGAAACCCATGTCACACGATTTCTGAATCGTGATGACTAACGTTACACGCTAGTCATGCTGAGTTCAGGCTTTTGGTTTTCCTTTGCTATTCCTTCTGTTTACGTGATCATAATTCAGCCTGATCCCAGACTGTCACTTAGGACATACATTGTCAGCATCCCTGATATTTTGGAGGTCTGTTTTGGACCTAAGAATTCCTAAAGGGCCAATCTCAAACCTTGGCACTTATCAGACTGAAGGGCCATTGTTATTGTTATCAAGGCACAAAAAATCCCTGTCTCACACAAATAAATATTCTGATGATCACAGGAACAGAGATGACAAAGACAGGACAGAGAAAAAGAGAGATAATATTTTGCCCAGTTTAGAGCAAGTAAGATTTTCTAACCAACCATAGTAGCAAGCTTCGACTTTGTAAAAAAAAAATAACGCTAAGCCAACAAGTAAGATTAAGGTCTGTCTCTTAGTGTATGTCTTACAGTAGGAGGGTTATACATTTATTACTCATTACACCTATGTGAGCAAGTTGCTTCTCAGTGATGCCAATTACATGAAGGTTATTCTGATAGTTAGCCCTAAGTAAAGCACATTGAACCCACTGATTTGGAGTAAAATTCCTAAATGTTCAAGACACTTCCTGGACATCAGGGACAGGGGAAGACTGAGAAGCAATGACTAATTACCAAAAACATGGCAAATTCCCACCTACAAGGTAAGTTATTAGTCCATTTTACTTTCCTTGTATATGTCAGTGAACCTATAATGAAACATGTGCTACTGTATGAAAGGGGACTTCTTTAATTTCCTATTATGAAAATAGTTTTGCCAACAAACTGATTGTTCTTAAAAAAATCCCAAAGACAATGGCACTCTGTCCAAGAAGGAAAATTCCATACTGACCATTTAGTTTCTAATTCTTTATCTGAGAAGCAAGGGCTAGGTAGGTTAATTTACTCAGACATGGATACTACTAGTTTAGGGCTAGTTCATGCCCTTCCGGTGATTCTTCTACTATTTTGGTGACTGGACCAATAGAAAAGTTTGATGACAAACTAAAGAAGCTTATACTCAGAAAAGGCAAGCAAGTCCTGTGCTTTAAACAGACTTATTCCAATCTGTGATTAACAGTGTTTTTCTTGTGAATTATTCCAGAATGCCCTGGGTTGATATATTCTATTTGCTCAGGAGTTTCTGTCAGATCAGTTTGGCTTTTGTTTTCTTCTAGTTTTGATCACTATGCTTCTCTTGCATAGCTACACTTTACGGGTTTTGTTAACATTAATGCTAGCTTGTCTAAAATCAGTAATCTATATGAATAAGCTGTGACAGGAATTTGAGTCATGAGTTTTATCATGTATTTTAATACTTGTTACTTCAGAAGTCTTGCTTAATTAATGGTATGTATTCTCAATCAAGCCAGAATGTCTGTATACTTTCATGCAATAGGAGTGGAGCATATTAAGTTAACAAGTGGGAATAAATTCTCTTCTTTATGCTTGCATGTACACATGTTTAAACGCAGATCACATGAAGTAGCTTTCTAACAAGTCCCTTATTGTTAGTCGGGGTTTTCTGAAATGTAGGTGTGTAAATGAGGAAGTCTGAATGCATGAGCATTTACCTTGTTCAGTTTCCATTTGCAATGGCCCCTGAAACTGCTGATGGAAGGCTTAGCATTACACACAGAAGATGTCTACTTTAGGAGATTTGATATCCATGCTAAAGGTAGTCAGTGACAGTTTGCCAGAACCTTGTTGTCTCTTGCTCTGAAATATGATCATATTATGTGCAATCTGTTCTGCTTGGCTTCTTTCCCAACAAACCAAAAGACAAAGCAAATACCTTGTTGAGTTACCTAGTCAATATCTCTGGCAGGTACCAGCCCTTCTTCTCCACACAGAGCCTCCAAATTACTACTCAGATCTTTCAGTTTATTACTGCTTTCTATTCTATGGAGCTTTCAGAATAGCGTTGATGGAGTTTCTCCACTGCTAAATGCTCATGTAGGAGCTGTTTTCTCAGCCCTGAGACAAAGTCCCAAGCCTCCTTTTGAATCTTGACATTCTAGACACAATAGCCTTGTGAAATGGAAAGTCTGTACACAACAAACAAAATTGTTGACTACATAGCTCTCCTCCTCATGCCTACTTTAAGAAAATTCTGGTCAAATGGTTGTCACTCACTCAGCCTTTAATTTGATGGACTCAGCTGAAATTGCAATAAACATTTAGAGTAATTGGCTCTGTGACAGGCTATCCATCACGATCAGAACCTATAGTTTCTGTATTTTTTTTTACAAGAAAGTACTTAACTTGTCTTAGTTCTTATACACTGGTTACTTTGCACTGCCCTTGAATACCTTTTAGAGCAGGTAGCTCCAGGCTAAACATAACATCAGACCTTGTCTTTAGCATGCCTTTTCTTCTTTGTCAAATTATATTTTGTAGTTAACAGAATATACATATCTCTTTTTGTTTGCTTTTCTTTCAGTATCCAGTGAATCATAAAATAATCATGGCAAAGTTCCCTATTTTAAAATTTATGTCAAATTAGTCAGTCCTATAAAATTCCAGGGGCATAACAATTTAGTGGCCTACAAAAGGAAAGTCTCTAAATCTCACAAGCATATGTGTCAATTTTCTAGCAATAAAGGAAGTTTTAACATAATATTTTCATTTCCAAATATATGTTTTTCAATACCTTAATTGAAATAGAGAATCTTGGGTTATTTTTTTCTGTTTCCCCCTTGTGGTACTTACTTTTCCTGATGCTATAATAAAATATTCTGACTAAAGCAACTTAAGGGAGAAAATGTTGATTCTGACTCACAGTCCAAGTACAGAGTATAACTTGATATGGCAGAGAAGCCAACAGTCAACGTGACACACTTGAAACAGCATGATAAATTGCTTTCACAATCTGAGAGTACAGAAAGATGAAGGCATGCTGTTGCTCATTTCTCTCTATTCATGCAGTACTGGGTCCCAGTCCCAGTCCCAGTCAAGGACTAATGCAATGCACAGTCATCATCTTAACTAATGCAGTCAGGATAATTCCCCAGAGGTATGCTCAGAGGTCTATATTCCAGGTGATTCTCAATAATGCCTACTTGACAATGCTAACTACTCTATATGTTGACTCTTTTCAGATTTCAAATAAACTTTCAAATCTTGATGACCACTTGTAGAGGAGTCACTATTGAGATTTCAGCTAAAACACATGTCTTGGTAAAAAGAAATATAAAATTCATCTTATTTCATGTGTTTATTTCTTTTCTACCCATTATGAAAATAATATTATATCCCCTCTAGTTGTGAACACAATTTCTAGTATGACTGTATTTTGTATCAGACTATATATACTATTTTTTAGTCTTAAAAGAGCATCATAATGAACATTGGCCATTTAACACTTAAGTTCTATAATTTTGTGTTATTTTGAATACAAATAATTGTATTTTCTTGCTAAAATATTCGTAGAGTATTATTTTTCTCACACATTTCTTTCACTGTGATGCACATACATTTTCTTAAGCTAATTTATGACTGCAGGTAAATATCACTCTGAAAATTACGTTACAGATCTGAGTGTACTTCTTTCTATACATCTAATCAAGTATATTGCATTTCCACTATTTGTTAACATTTATTTAGAGACTGATCATTTAGAATAAGTTGAATCTGAAAGTTGTGTTGTTTTTGCAGAACACTACTCTTCTTCTGAGGACCACATTAAATGAAATAGAGAAAAATAAGAGAAGAGACAAAATTATCCTCTTAGTAAAAAGTTCAGGAATATGAAAACACTGCAATATGTATCCATAATAAAAAGTAACTTCTCTAACTCAAATCATAGGGTGTCAGTAAAATCAAAGACAATATTATTTTACCTTATATGTTTGTATATTAGAATATCAACTCATGTGTAATATAAGAACATGTTTTGTCCTTATTCTCATTCCTGTGACAATAAAAGTATACAACAAGAATTCTGTCCTACTTGGGTGATAGCAGATAAGAGAAATGCACAGGTCTACATATGAGCTTCCTTTGGGCCATGCGGAGAGGGTTTAATCCAAGCATAAGTAGCTGTAGCATGACTTTATACAAAAGGAAAACATGAGCTAATCTATTTGGGTGAATAGACCACTGTAGAACAAGAGTGTGAGACCTGAGGCAACTAGCAAGGTGTCTTAGTCAGGCAGGTGAAAATGACTCCTGTGTGGAGTAGATAAAAGCAATAGAGATTCATAGAAATGCACAAATGTAATGTAAAAGTTATATGTATACCAAACCAAAATGTCTTTTAAGTAGGTCACATAAATAAGGTAAGTTGACTGACCTCATTGAATAAACATAGTAGAATAATGGGAGGAAAGAATGGCTTACATTCCAGATATGCAGTTCCCTGCTCTGTATTAAGTGAACACTATCTGTGCACTTTGCAGGAATTCCTGCTAGACAGAAAATCAGTATGAGAATGGCTGTCACAGATTTCCACTTCACCTTTCACATGACAGAACCCTCCTCGCTTAGAAAGGAACTAAAGCCCCAGCTAGCCCCTCTTAGAGAGAAGCTTATATTGTTTTCCCTGAGATCCTTTTCTGAACCATTCTTCAAATTTCTGAGCTAATCTTGCCCTTTCCCTGCCTGATTATATTTGGGAATCCTTTATGTTTCTTCCTCTTTTCTTGGGAGTCTTGAATCCCAAGAATCTAGTGGAACTATTTGTATTGTATGTTTTCTGTTGTTTCAAAACAGATTTGGACATGAAGAAATGATGAGTTGCATACTGGTGCAGTTACCGAATTCCGAAGGTGTAACCACACTTATCATCTAGCATTTTGATCAGCTCATTTAAAAAGTCTTCACACAGGTAGTAATTACAGTTCTCTTTGAAATGTTGCTAGTGCTATTTTTATGTAACCCCTTCTAAATTTTTGCTGAAAAGATGTTCCATCCTCCCGAAGCAGTATTTTCATAGTTTTTTATATGACTCATGTTAAGCAGAGTTTTGTAAACATTTATGATATTTTAGTTGTCTGTGTCAGGTTTGTATATCTGTGATTTTATTTTTCTACCACTGACTGCGATAAACCAGTTGATCTGTGCAGCACCTTAGGTACAAATTTCTTACTACCTCTCCAGCATCTCAAGATTACATTATATAATGAGTGATGCCACTTAGGAGGCAAGTTGTTAATATGATGAATGTTGGGTAGAAAATAAGTTGGACAATTCATTTACTGATTTAAAAAAAATTGAAGGTAATCTCTCCTAACACCATAAATTAGAAGATGATTATCCATCTCTTTGCAGATGACATTGTTTCATTATGAAATAGCCCTCAGCAATTTACTTTTGATTAATCATTGCCAGAATAATGCTTAGCAGAGGCTGAGATAAAACAAAAACCTTATTTTTTCAAATGTTTTGTAAAGTTTCACTGGTTATCATCACACAGTCTTGCAGAGAGGTCAAATTATTTACGAGTAAATCACTACTCCCTCTTCAGGGCCTGAAATGAGTTTCTATTGGGGTCAAATTGGTCAATTGGTAGCACCTCACCTTTTGTTGTTTATTAACAGATTAGAGTCCCACTATTCAGATCCGATTTCCACAGCTGCAAAGCAGATTTGCTTTTTAACATTTATTGCAGAATTATACTTTGTCTATAAAACTTGCTCATCATTTTATACATCAAAACACTACTAAAACTGACTCTGAAGTCTCAATGTACATATAAAAATCACGATATTAGTATCTCAATACATGAGTAGAGCAGAAGAGTTAGTTATATTGCAGTGGGATTATTATACCTAATAAATTTCACAATCATGTGTTCTGCCTTAAAGCATCCTCTGGTCAGTTTCTACATGCATTTTGTTTAGTCTTATTGCCTCTAAATGAGAACAGATACACATTTGTAAAATTACTATCAAGAGGAAAAAGTGACATCCCTTTATAAGGGACTAGCAGAATGGCTGACATATAATTAGGCTCCATAGGTGGTCACAAAAGTGTCCCCCACACAAATAAAGGATTTCTTTCCCACTGACTCTAGTGTTTTTAGTGACTCCCCAACATCTCATTTCTTCCTTGTGCTCCACTGTTGCCAACCACCACTTTCTAGAATTCTAACCTGCTCTCACTTGGAAGTTTTATTTGACTCTGATTATTAATGTTGACATTCTTGCCTATTGAGTGCTCCTGTTTCATGCATTTGATTTAGAGACTTTCAATGGATTTGTGCAGCAAGCTTTGTCTCTAGGAAAATGTTCTTTCGTTTGTAGAAATTCTGTTTCTGACATTTGGTGACATTTTCCTGTACTGTTGACAGGTTTTTCCCCTTCCTTCAGACAGGCAAGGAGACTGCTGTGGCGTTTCATCCCATCTGTTTTTCTTTTCTTTATCACACCAAGCCTTACAAACTTCTCTTCTCATAGTGTGTTCTCTTTCTGGCTGACATCATCACTACTTTTGCTTTACCTCCAATTATCTTCTTGTTTACTCAGATATAGGAAGTTGATGTTTTCCCCTTAGGCATCAGGAAAAAATACAGTTTGCAGCTTTTTCTGGTATGTATTAGCTATTGACATACAGAAGTCATTATATTGTATGGAGTTATTTTTCTCTGAAGTACAGTAAAATGAGTTCTCTTCACTTGTATAAAACCTAATTTTGTCAGTGCTTCACAACTTGTTGTATATTTACATTGGGCAGACATTAGTCAGTGAAAAATGTTATAGAATCTTCATTTCTCTTTGAAAATTTTCTTTTTATAGACCTTTCAGTAAACATTATTACCCAACTGCCAGAAAAAGAAACCTACATTTCCATGTTTGCTAGAAATGCATTTGTGCCATTGTTTAAATGAGCCTGATTGAAGCAAACTTCCTGGCTAGTGATGGGAATAAGTGACAGTAATTGGGAAGTCTTTAACCAGAATTGATGCTCTGCCTGGAAACTATGCAGGAAAGATGTGACAAAGCAAAGTGATGCTGAGTCCCACAGCACCAGGATCCTAAAATTCTAGATATGTAATATGATTGCAAAATCTCAAAGTTTAAAGGAATTTATTATTCTTCTCTTCTCATGCCAATAATGACCTATTGTTATCTCAAAGTTTAATTTTAGGTAGTCCTGATCTTTTAACCTATAAACTTGTACTTGACTTACTGAGACTTGCCCCTTGCTAGGTGAGTGACACCCACACCTTTAATATGTGTGAATTTTATAATAACTCAACACACACACACACATTCATGTATGCATTTTTCAGTGATTATGTTATCTTTTTTCATATAGTTAATAGCAACTTGATAAATATTAGAGTCATTTGCTTTGTTGGGATGTGAAGATAAATTCCATATAAATTCCATGTAACATACATTTCAAAGATGAACAATAAAAAGGGCTATAAACATTTTTATAGTATAGCCAATTCTCCATAGGACATAATCAAATATAAGATCAGAGATATAAAGGAAAGATTGGCTTAATTAAAGTACTACATTCACAGTTCTCTCTTTGAAGATTTTCCTCAAAGGAAAGGTCACAACATTTTATAGAAGATGAAGTCATAACACCAATATTAACTAGCTACAGGCCTCCTTAAAGAGCAGAGAGATGCTCACTCCATTCTCCTGAGGATGCTTCTAGCTGAATCCCTTCATGCATAGATAATCTTAACAAGATTATCTTTGTCTTTCTCCTGTGGTTTTGAGTTACTCTAGTTTCTAAGTCCTTTTTAAATCATTATAGTCAAAATCTATACTTAGAAAAAAAAACATAAGGAATCTTTTGGATGATCAGACTATCATCCATTATGCATTCCACTTATATAACCATTGATATTCTCTTGCTCAAGGTTAAACTCCATAATAATTCAATTTCACCTGCCCAACATATCCAGTGATGCTATAAACTGAATGTTTTTGTCTTGGCAATTCAACATGCCTGGGCCAGGCCAAGGATTCATATCATCCAGCAGGATTGCTCTAGTGGATATTTAAGCTCACTGGCCACATACATCTCTGTTTTGATCAGCAACTTCATTGTTTCTCTTATCAATTTACTCTGTCATTCCCTTCAGTCTCTACTTTACACCTTACTAATAATCCTTAAACTCAACAGGTTCACAGGGTAGATGTGACTAATCTCATGCAAGGGACCTTGACTTGGCACCATCATGTTAATAAATGCTTATATGCTTACACCTAGTCCCCCTAACTTTAATGAATACAAAGACTCCCAATTTAGCCATCTGAATCCCATTGATTCTGCTTTCATCATATCCCCTTCTTCTTAGTTCCCTGCTTGAATTTTCTCTTATGCCTGCTGTACACACAATGCTCTTTTCCATTGCAGTGCTCTTTCAATATTGTGGTTTGCTAAGTTTCTTTTAAATTTTCTGACTTTTTATATGCATCTGCTGTCTCTATTCCTTATTTCCTTTTCCTGTTGATCTCCTTTGAATACATATATAATTCCAGTGTCACTCCTCCTTATAAAGATCACCATGCCATCTCTGGGACACCTCTTCTTAAAATTCTTGCAAGCCTATCAATTAATATGTCTAATAGAACTTATATTTTTCTTTCTAATACCAGTCTGATCTCTAGAATTCCCAGAACATGCTATAATATATTCAGATTCTCATGAAAGAAAACTAAATGATATATTTTCTTCTTCTGAATTTTATACCTGACTTTTAGACAAACAATGGCCCTTCCAAGTATAGTACTCACAGGAAGCACTCTGTAAATTTTTCATATTGAAAAGAGTAACAACACTCAAGATCACATTTGGCATAGAGTAAGTATCCTTTATATATATATATCAGAGGCAGAGGCAGGTGGATCTCTGTGAGTTCAAGGCCAGCCTGGGCTGAAAGAGCTAGTTCTGTTAGCTGCCAAAGCCACAGAGAAACCCTGTCGTGAAAATAAATATATAAATATATAAATATATTTATATAAATAATATATAAATATATATATTTGTGTGTGTGTGTGTGTCTGTGTGCACCATGAGCACTTGTTTTTATAGTCATATATATTCCTGGTATCTGTGGATGTCAGCGGAGGGTGTCAGATCCCCTTGAACTGGAGATGAGTATGGTCATGATCTACAGTTAGTTCTGGGAATGAACTTGAGTCCTCTGCAAGAGAAGTAACTGCTCTTCACTGAGGAGCCATCTCTTGAGACTCAGAGTTTACTTTTTATAAATTTAAGATAATTCCTCAGAGTCGCTGTACCAGTTTGCAATCCCACCAGCAGTGGAAGAGTGTTACCCTTTCTCCACATCCTCTCCAGCATAGACTGACTGTTAAGAACGCAGGTGTCAGTTAGGCCTGGGCAATCTATGGGACATCTGGCAGTGGATCAGTATTTATTCTTAGTATACATATGGATTTTGGGATCCCATGCCACATAGAGGGATACTCTCTCAGCCTAGACACAAAGGGGAGGGCCTAGGCCCTGCTCCAAATTATGACAGACTTTGAAGATCCCCCATGGAAGGCCTCACGCTCTCTGGGGAACAGAAAGGGGATGGGATAGGGAGTTGGTGGGGGGCAGGGGAGGAGGGGAGCAAGCAGGAACTGGGATTGACATGTAAAACAAGATTGTTTCTAATTTAAATTTAAAAAAAGATAATTCCCCAGTAAATTCAAAACAAATTCTGAGTTGTTGAACTATAGGGATACATCCATATAATCTTTCAAGTGAATTTTTGTGAGAAAGTTATCTTCATTTACACTATATTTGCTTACATAGTTCAACCTGATAGATACTCCAGATATTCCAAGCCAACCCCACTACTGAAATACAGGCACTTCTTGATCTATTTGTAGATTTTTTGAGCCCCTCCTCTCG